TATATAGATACAGATATATGAATTGAAGATATGGATTAACACCTTTTCTTTCTATGTAGCTTCTTAAGAAATTTTGAGGGAATGAAGAGAGTGGAATTATTTAGATTTTAAAAAAATTCTATGTTGTTTTCATCGGTTGGTAGATATCACGTGTTCATTTTTATGGTATGTACATATATATGTATATGGCTGCCTGGTTGAGCGGTTAGAACATTCACTTTTTGACCATGAGACCTAGGTTTCAATCTCATCATGGTCGATTTATTAGGAAGGCAACTTCTTGATGTTATCGGCCTGTGAGAGGTGATCCCTGTGTGTGAGACCTTTAGAAAGTGCCTGAAAACTATACCATGGGGTGACCCAAGCCTTGGGAGTGAAATTAGGTTAACAGAACTATTTGGGAGTCATCGATAGTTGTGTTTGCACAAAATCACAAGTCATCATGACTGAGGCTTTGAGCATACTGGCCTGGTTCAGACTGTTGTTTCTGCCAGATAATGCACTCTCACCCAGAAATGGTAGCTAAGATTCACTCAGCATAATTGAAACATAAACCACAGGTGGATTTTATGGATGTTGAAAAATACAAACGTGCCTGAGCAGGCGTTTGCAACAGGGATTGAGTAGCTGACCTAATAGACAGGCATACTCTGACACAAGCAACAAACCACCACATGTATGTATGCATGTATGTGGGCATCTGGTGTTTCAGACAGATACTACACTCTGATCTTTAGAAGAAAAGCAGAATAATCATGTTGATAATAATTTAACAGAAAATAAATTATTTACACTACACATTCATTATAATTTTGCCAGAAACTTATCTCCTTAATGAAATTGTTCAAATAATGATTTGTATATGTGTTTATCAGTTTGCAGGTCATATGTGCATATTTATTACTAAGTCTTACAGCCAGATTCCCTTCTTGGCGTGTCTGTTTTTGAAGGAAAACCAGAATTTTAACATGGCTTAAAAAAATGATAGCAAAAAGAAAAAAGTAGAAAACAATCACTATATATAAAGTAGGTAGTGTATATTGTATGTTAGCCCTGCAGAATCTTCAGTGGAGTATTGGGCTACAACTTCCCCATATTAAGTGCTACTGGTACAGGATTGACATTGATTCCCACAGCAAGTACATTTTTTAGTTGTTTTTCTCCTAGACTGGTTGTCAACCAATGCTATAGAGTCCAGGCTGTTCTGCTATTAATTCCTAGCTAAGGAGGGAAGAGATGGAATCAAACCTTTTCACAGGTATTTATACAAAAAATGAACACCTAATAAAATATTTAATAGAAACACAGTAAAGATGAGTTTTAGTTGTCTGCCCAACATGGGAAAACTGATTGTAGGCATAACAGTAAAAGCTTGAACAAAATATCTGAAGAAAAAGAGAAGAAATATAATTGCAGGAAAGCAAATGATTGCCCCCTTGATGGATTCAGCAAAGTTAAAAAGATAATCTACAAGGTGACTTTAAATTTGAGAACCACTCCCCAAAATCCTACATCAGGTTTACCAATAGGCTTAGAAGTATAAAACATCCTTCAACTCAGAGAGGTATAAAAATAGTGCTTCTTTACTGAGGTAAAGATGGGAAGTTAGGGAAAGAGAAAACTTAGGCCCATTGATAGAACTGAATATCATTAAACAGGTACAGAGTAGAATGCAGGTGTGGTATATGGCACGTTATGTCAAGAAGAAAAATTGTCATACTTTCCTTTTCAGACCAGATGAAATTATTAAATACAAAGAATGAAATATTCATGAATAATGAGCACAAAAGAAAATAACTGTTAACACAACAGTGCCAGATTAATGGTTTTACTATTTTGAGCTGTTCCATAATTGGAATAATGTTGATTGCATTTTGAAATAAAATTGTCTGCAAGTGCTTATTGCTTGATGAGCCAAAATGGTGAAACTACAGGGTATGATGGATAAATTAACATCTAAATTATGCAAAAATGAAAATAACACTGACATCACCATTGGCTTTAACCATGGCCTCCAGATGACTTTGGAATCTCCTGCATCTCTTCTGGATGGTCTTCTTGTTTAAGTTGGTGAATGCTGCCATAATCTTTGTCTTCAGTTCATCTTTGGTGTTACAAGGAGTTTTGTTGGTCTCTTGATCAAGTATGCCCCACACATAACAATCAAGGGGGTTGCAGTCTGGAGAGTTAGGTGGCCTAATGTAAAGGATGATGTCACCACAGAAATTGTCTGACAGCCATGACTGGGTTCTTCTGCTTGTGTGGCATAGTGCAGAGTCCTGTTGCCAGACAAAAGGTCTTCCAGTAGCTACCCTCTTATCCCAGGGCTGCATTATCTCTTCCAGGCACTTGATGTAAGCCTCCGTGTTGAGTCTGAGGTCCTCACCAACAAATTTTGGAGTTTTTTTCTTATCAGAACAATCAGAGTGAGTCTTGTGCAATGCCATCCCTTCATAATCACCATTAGACTCATACAACTTTTTCTGAATCCTCTACACTATCCTCAGATTGATGTCCAGAAACTCTGAAATGCTTGTATTGGAGCTTCCAGTGCAAATGCCAAACAGTAGCAGCATGCCATTTTCAAATTTCTGGAGGAGTGAATTGTGTCATGGTGCTCTTTTTCTCACAGATGGTGCCCAGCTGACCCTTCTATATAGCACAGTCAACAAAATCAAAAACAGACAACTGCATGCACAAAAATTAAAAATATAAAATGGCGACAATGTACCCATATATTACAAATTTACCATTATGCACCTGAAAAATTTATTTCAGTTGAGCTCTCTGGGGAGGAAATGTGTGTTTGTAAGACACTTGGGAAAAACAAATCCAGTTCTCTCAGTCACTGTGTGTTTATCTAACAATAAATACGTTTAAATTCACCTTCATCTCTGCACCAACAACTTAGGGGTAGAATCTTTGACTGACACCAATTCAGCCAGGTTTCAATCATTGCTAGAGGCAACTGGATGTCTAGCCACATGATGAGCTGTGCTACAGCGAAACAGTCTGTCTGTGAATGACAATATATATGTACAAGTTTTCCATTAAAAACCACCAACATGATATTGCTGTTAAGTTTTCTAATTCTTTTTGTTTTTAATTCTTTTGTGTTTTTATAATTTTCTTCTTTTCTGGAAGTAAATTATATAGAAATTGTCCAAATATTCTGTATGTCTGAGCTCTTTCAGCTATACGCTTAAGCATTATCAAGGATGATTTATTTTTACTTTTAACTGAATTCATGGATTGTTTTATATATGTATCTAGAGTTATAGGAATGTTTTATTTTCCAAACATGGTCAGCACATTATGGCTATGTTCATAGTTGATATTATTGAGCGTTGGCTTTTTTCTTTTTTCTTAATAATGCTTTCATATTTTTTACCTTTTTTTACATGTGGATGAGACTATTATATTTGTATTATCAATGAGAATATTGTGGATAGAGTTTAGTAGGTACCTTATCAATCATTTTTAATGAACCTGTATAAAAGAGAGATTGCTGCTCAAATACACAGCTATGTATACCATATATACTCATGTATCATGTGACTTTTGAAAATCTAATTTTAAGGGGGGGTCACTTCATACAGAAGATATAAAATTAGCATATGTATGGCTCATCCTGGTAATGCCATTTACCAAACTATATATCGATTTACTTTAGCCAAATTAGCTTCAAAATTAATTCTTCAAAGGTCACATGAGTATATATATTTTAATTTATTAATTAAACATTAGTTTTAATGGATAGTCATAATTGAGTAGATGCTCTGTTTTTATTTATTTATTAAACAGTATATTTATTTCCATCTCTCGGTCTGAATCCTTGAGAAAAACTTGTTAGAAAAATTATGCACCCTCTGGCAGGATTCAAACTTTAGTCCTCAAGCAGAAGCTGTCGTTAGATCTAACATGCCTTGAACTCTTGGTTACAAATAACCTCCTGGTTTAGTGATACAAGTCTTACTAATTAAATCATAGCTGGGGTGGGTGAAAAGGTGGATACAAATACTCTTTCCCAAGAGTATTTGCAGGTAAATGAATATAACCATCCAAATTGGAATTGGAACTTGGCTCTCTGATGAACAATTCTGAGCCATTATTCATTACACCACCTACACATCCAGCTTTACAGTATGGTCTGAATATGGCTTAAAGTATGAAAATGACAGTCAACATGCAACATTGATTTCTATGTCTGCACTGTTTATGTCTATCATATCTGTTTTAATTCTTCTGTAAATGCACAAAGATTATATATATATATATATAGATAGATAGATAGATATGTGTGTGTGTGTGTGTGTGTGCATGTAAAAATTCAGATATAGATAAAATATATCTGTTAAGACAGTATAAATAAAAAACAAAAGGAAAACTTTTCTTTACCAATGTGTTATGTTCTTTGAGGAACTTTATCAAGGTAAATAGAGAGATTTTATTTCATAGCTTCTGTTTATGCCCAAAGGTAATGTGGAGGAAAACTAAGAATATTTTTAGACCATTCTCAAATCCAAAATTTGAAAACTTAATATTTTTCCTCCATATTACTTATGTTCATAAAATAAAGTTACAAAATAAATTTTCCACATTTACCTTGATAAAATGCCCCATGGAATGGAATGTGTTAGTACAGAAAAATTATCCTTTTATCTTTTCTTTTACTTTTAAAGACCATATGAAAAAAGGAAAACTTTCTTTTTAACAACACGTTTCATCCTCTGATGGACTTTATCAAGGCAAAGGAAGGTTTTGCTTTTTTTTTATATATATATATATATATATATATATATATATATATATATATCTGTAGATAATAGATAAAAGTGAGAAAGAAAGATATGAATAGGAAGAATGAGAATGAATAAAATTACTAGGAGTAAAAAAAAAAGAGATATGAAAAATATAGACATGGAAGATAGAAATAGGTAAAGAATATCACAGTGTGCAGTATAGGCAGATAAAATACTATTTAAAGAGTGGACAAAAAATTAAAGGGGAGTAGAAATAGTTAAGAATGTGATAGAAAAAAGATGGGTAAAAAAGGTAAAAGAAAAATGAATGATATTAGAAAAATGTGCATAAAAAGAAAGGATGCAAAAAGTGAAAGAAAATAAAACTTTGAAAAATATTAATGAGCGAAAAATAGATGAAATAACTATGAAAGAAAAATTATGATGAAAAAAAAGAAAGATAAGAAAAGAAAGATAAGAAAGGCAATAAAAAAAATTAATAAAAGAAAGAATGGAGAAAGGAAAACAAAGAAGAAGGACAAAAGAAACTCAGGAAAATTTGCAAACAAAATGGAAGGAAATGAACCTTGATTAAAATAGAAACTGAAAAATTAAAAAAAGGAAAGTAAATATTAAAATGAAAGAAAAAAATGTGAGATGGATTAAAAAAAAAAGAAGAATGAGTAAAAAGAGGAGAAAAAAAGGAAAATGATACAAAGAAAAGAAAAAAAGAAATTCTGATAAAAAAGGAGAGAACAAAAAATGAAATCAAGGAAGAGAACTAGAGAGAAGAAGAAATGAAAGAGAGAGCAGGAATTTGAGAGAACGAGAAAGAAGAAAAGCAAACTAGACTAAATAAGAAAAAAAAGAGAAGAAAATAGAAGAAAACAAGAGAAACAAATCAAGAGAGTGAACAAGAAAAGGAAAGTGAAAGAAAGAAAGAATTTGGGACAAGTCCCCAGCCTTTGAATTCCTCGAATATTGACACTCGAAAATTTGGTTGGTGTGCAAGAGGAAGAAGTTGCCCAAACAAGAGATTTGAAGTTGGTTGCAGTGGTTTTGATTAAAGTAATTACATTGTGTGCACACACAGCACCCATGTTTCACATGTCGCCCTGCCTGGGTATATCTTTCCAAATTACACAGCATTCAATGTCTACGTGGATTGATTAAGGCCGAGGGGACACATGAAATTGAAAAATTCCTCCTCTCATTCACCCAATCAATAGACTACAAGGTCATTCATTGCTAAATCCATGCAATATGGCCAACAACGGGTGAGCAAACAGTTTTCTTACAATGGAAGCTGATTTTGATGAATTAAGAACTAGTTTTTATTTAGCCTGATTTTTTGTTGTTTTTATTTTTATATTTTTTGTCAGGTTTTTATTTTTCTACCTTCAGATATTTCCCCTTTTTGATGTAATCTATGTTTTTTTAAAATTGTTTTTTCTTCAGCTTTGGGTGCAGTTCTAAACACCAATATTGTTGCTTCTTTTAAAGAATTTTATTTAAAATGAGTTGCTTATATAAATATTATAGCCACAAAAGTAATGCTTTATTAAAGCTGAAAATGGTTGTTTGTAATGCTTTGCTTTCAAGTTTTCTTTCTCTTAGTTGAAATAGAACATCAGGCCTTGCAGCAATCAGTCTTTTTCTTTATCATTTAAATTAAGCCTGCATATACACCCAGTAATCATTTATCTTTCTTTGCTAAGATTTTACACTGTCTGATCTATGGTAGATGTATGGTAAAGTAGTAGTTATCAACATAGAAAAGAAAATCAAGCAAATTGAATTCAAATCCTAGCATAATCAATTGCATTTACTTAATACCCTTGGGAAAAGACATGAATTTGTCTATTCTCCCTCAGTTATATGTTAAAAAACTGGGTAGAATGGGTTCTAGCCTTAGATAGCTACTAATCTGGTAGAAGGATAACTCTGACTTCCAAACAGTAAAAAACAACAAGAAACAATTACAATTCTCATATAATAAAGTGTTATATAAGAATAAAGTGTCTTTGCCAACACTTGAATTTGAACATAGATCGCCAGTGAGAAAACACAGGTGATTGTATTATTGAATTAAGTGGATCACGTGATCATAGAGGAAATGCATATATACGAAATCATATGACACCTAGATTGATCTTCAGTTCTAGTCTATCCTCTATACTATATGGATCGCATTGCTATTCCTATTCTATCCTTTATTACTATCCTCTACTCTATTCACTATACAGGTTACTATTCCATTGAGTATTATCTAGCAAGTACTATTAGTGTGAGTGCTATTCAAAGGCATCTAACACCAGCATTGTTCAATGGTATACTATAGTTGTATCTGCAATTACAAAGTTTCTGTGACAATGAGTATTCATTGACATTTCAAAAGTGTCAACTGAGTGTTCGCGGACATCACAAGGATTTGTTCAGCAGAGTATGGCAAAATGGAAGAACTAAAAGCTATCACGTTTCAAATGTTGGCACTACAGAAGCAACAAGAACAACATTTTCAGCAATAAAAATTACAAGAACAACATTTGCAGCAACAAAAACAACAAACTGAACAACAATTACAATTGCAACTACAACAACAGAAGTTTTTGAGTTTTTTTACCAAAACCATGGAAGAAAAAACTTCAGATTCATTCACTCCAGATGCTATTGTTAATTCAATCAGCAAATTTGTGTACAATCCAGATGAAGGCATAATTTTTCCAGCTTATTATAGAAGATATGAAGGGATCTTCAAAAGAGATTGTTCGCATTGGAATGATGAAAAGAAAGTTTGTTTATTATTAAGGAAATTGTCCCTGCTGAACTTGAAAAATAGTGAATTATATTTTGCTGAAAAATCCAGGAGAAATAAATTTTGATGAAACTGATCTAATTCTACCAAAATTCAACCTTGGCTGAAAAACAATATGCTATGGTCCAGAATACATATAAACTTCACAGGACCATTAAATGAAGCATACTATCTAGTGGTAGTTGATAGTTACACTAAATGGCCAGAAATGTTGAAATGTAGAAGATTGACTATTGCGGTAATGATAAATTTCCTACACAAGATTTTTGCAAGATTCAGTGTTCCTGACTCTATTGTTTCAGATAACAGAACTCAATTCACGTCTAGTGAATTTAAGTTTTTTTGCAAATCAACAGAACATATTACAACTACCCGCTTATCAGCTAAGATCAAATGGAGGGGAGGAGTCAAATGAAATAATGCTACAACAATTCTTGAGTATTTACAGAATAACACCAAATCCGAACACTGTGTCTGGAATGTCGCCTGCAGAGTTGATGTTTGCCAGGAAGATTAAGCCTGTATTTAACAAATTATTACCAGAACAGAAGACGAGATCATCAAGGAAACAAAATAATATAAATAAATATTTTAAACCTGGTGATAAAGTGTTTTTTAAAATGTAGCAACATGGAAAAAAAATTCTGGGAAGATGGCGTTATAAAAAAACGGATCGGCAAAATGACATACATGGTACAGGGACAAAGGTGAGAACATAAGCAACACTTTAATAAGTTAAATGGAGACTCACTGATTTAGTAAGTCCATTAAAAGAGGTACCTATGGAAATATTGTATTACATATTTGGCATACCCACACTACCAGAAATTAGTGAACCAAGGAGGTACAGTAAAAGAAAAAGAACAGCAACAGAACATTTGAATATTGAAACGAAGCTGAAGAAATATAGACTCCAGAGGAAGTCATCTCAGAGGTGCTATATAGGAATAAAGTGTAACTGCCAACACTTGAGTTTGAACATAGATCACCAGTTAGCAAACACAGGTGATCCCATTATTGAATTAAGTGAATCACGTGACCATAAAGGAAATGCATATATAGGAAGTTGCATGACATGTAGATTGATCTTCATTTCTAGTCTATCCTCTATATTATATGGATCGAATCGCTAGTCCTATTCTATCCTCTATTACTATTCAGACCACCATTCTCTACTCTATTCACTATAATATTTCTCTATTCAGATCATTATACAGATTAATATTCAAGCGAGTATTATCCAGCAAGTACCTATTAGTGCAAGTGCTATTTGATGTAAATAGCATAGATAATTCCTCATCCCAGAAATTTTTTTCAGTGAATTCATGATACATTTTCAATTTTTTTTTCTCTGTACATGGTTCAAGAGCCACTCAAAGTAGAGTGTTACAGAGTCAGAGACACCATCCCAAGCAAGGTGATAATGCCACCAAGACCCAAGAAGTCACTGAAAGTTAAAGACAAGGAAAAGAGAAAGCTAAAACCCTATTTTCTCGAGCCTACTTTTGGGAAAAATTTCTTATAAAAACCCCCAGATTTTGACTTTCAGGAATATAGATGTGACTGTTTCCAAGTCATTCAAACACAAGAGATGACATGGCTACATAGCTTTTCCCTCATCGACCTGTGTGTGCAGTAAGAAACCTGTGTCAGCACCATCAAACAAATCATTTCAAACAACAATAACAACAACAAGGATGATCAGTAAATCATTGCTGAAGGTCAAAATTTCTTCTCAACCACAGATTTTTACTGTGGGACAACTACTAAAAGGCTGGAGACTGACAAATCAAGAGTCAATCTTTGTCTATTCTCCTTATTGTCACTTCTTACCACCTCCTCTTTCATTCATATCATACCTCATTCTTCATAACCATTTTAATACTGAACACTCGAGCCTTTTGGAAAAAATTTGTTATGAAAAACATTCAGCAACAAAGCAGATGTTAGAACTTTATGATTTGCAATTATTTTAAAAATGCATCTTTTTTTTGCATTTGTCATATATACTTTTATCATATATATTGGTATTTGTGTGTGAACACTGAAGCTAAGCATATGTTGATCATAAAAACAGTTATCATTTATAAAAACCCATAATAAAAAAATTGAAAATATTGTCCCAGTTTAGAGCTTGGAAATTATAATAAGTATCTATAAAATGGGCAAAATTTCTTTATTCTTCTTCTAATATGCCTTGTTTCTTCAGGATGTAAACAATCACGGCTGTCTACATTTACTGTGTAACACTTAGTAAATGTTATCTTTAAACTATCAATCTTTAGGTAGATTACTTGTTGTTTACCTCTGTCCCACTTGCTTTCAGTATGACGTGCGAGTGTCTCTTTCTGATTCTAAGTATAATCATCCTTTTTGTTTTCACTATCTTTAAAACTTCATCATTGTTCACATATTTAGTCCAAGGTATTCTGAGAAACCCTTTGTAGAACCACATTTCCATTGACTGATTTCTATTTCATCTTTGTGAAGACTGACAAATATTCACTGATTTAGAGAATGACTGGTATTACATTGCATTTAAGCACTCTTTTATAATTTCTAAGTAAATTTTCCTATTTCTTAGTCATCATCTCATCATCTTGCGGCCTCAGCCGAGATTGAACTCACTAATACTTTGATTGGTGTAGTTCATAATCTTGTCAAATAGCTGAATTCTTGATGCTTCGCTAGGGCTATCAAGGGTGTGTTTTTATCGTGACACCATCACTAAATGGATTGCCAACCAAGGCTCAGAGACTCCATTCACCCTCCTCTAGAGCAGGTTTGAATTCAGAGTTTTTCCTTCTCCTAGACAGTTGCCATCCAAGGCTATAGAACCCAATCTGTCCTGCTATTTACCCATAGCTGGAGGAAGAAGAAAGAGGATTCACATCTTTCCAAAGGGTGTTAGCACGTAAGTGAATGTAATGGATTCGACTGGAATTCGAACTCGGCTCTCTGATTCCTCAATCCAAGCCGCTATCCATTACTCCACCATGCCTCCTCAATTTCTTAGTACATTAACTTTTTAAAGGCAACTTTTGCTATTCCAATGCATCTTCAGATATCTATCATATTCACAACACACATATATATATATATATATATATACACACACACACACACACACTTCGAATCACTCCGCTGAGAATAATTTTGGGAATATCTCTTACATAACAAATATCATCAAAGTCAAACTCCCATCCTTGTATGGAAAACAAACCTAACTGGAACTTAAGAAGATCTAAAAATCTAATGAAAAATTTATTAGTAGATTTATTTACA